ACCTGAAGTGAAGATGACTAAAATGAGTTCTGCAACCACTGTCCCCCCAGTCTGAGATGTGAGGTGATCCTTGCTTACAGATTGCCTCTCTACCCTCTTAATGACTGTGGGAAAACATGTCATGGTGTTTATAACAACCCCACATGATCCTCTCTGCCTCAACAAGGAACTCCTTAAGCTTGTCCGAGTCTGCGTGTGAGTTCTTTCCTAAGCAGCAGACAGCGTGTGTGTCTCAGCCACAGTGTCTGCAGACTCTGTCAACCCAGACCTGGAGTGCCTAAGGAGGGGAGTTGGCAGGGAAGGCGACTGTGACGGTTATCTTCACTGAGAAACTGACTGGATTTAGGATAACCTGGATAGTGAGGTATACCTGTTTGTGTGGCTGTAAGGGTGGTTTGTTTGTTTGTTTGTTTGTTTGTTTGTTTGAAGATTGTATGCATAAGGACTCAGAAAAAATAAAAGGAAAAGTAGAGAAGGGCAGAGAGCATTGGTGCCCCGTTCTCTGTTGTCCAGCTTCTGCGGTGTGAACTCTGGGAGATGGTGAGTTATCACTCCTTTCTCTGCTCCCCAGCTGCTGGGCACCTTGTTCCCTGCTCCCCAGCTGCTGGGTGCCCTGTTCTCTGCTCCCCAGACACTGTGATATGAATCCTCATGCTGGGACTGAACAATCTGAGAGGGTGAGTTGACATCCTCTCCTCTTAACTTATCCCAGACATTTTGGTAATTGTGACAGAGAATAATACAGAAAATAACTACTAAAACTCACCACGTGGTTAGACTCTTGGAACTGGTTTGCCAGTTCCTGAAGACACAGGCTAGAGAAGACACAGAACATTGTAAGCAGGGCTCAGAAGAGGGGAATGTTGACAGAAGTGCTGGAAATAAATATGAGGTTTCTAATGGGCACAAGGACTCTGTCAGAATTTTTACTTGAGGCTATTGGAGTTACGTTCTCACAAAATAATTGGTCAGTTATTTTTCTGTGTCCTGAGACTATGAACGAAAAATGAGAAGTAGTTAATTAATTTAACTATCCAAGTGCCAAGGTAAGTTAGCCTTCAAGATATGGCATAGATCTTGCTGGGTGCTTGCTTATAGCAGACTTTAAAGTGATGATCAGGAAAAGAAGGTGGAGCAGGACTATCTTAATTATGTGTAGTTTGGCCAGAGAAGAAGTGAGTTGAAATTTGTAAATAGGTTTTATAAACAAACACTAGTGACATTTTAAAGGAAGCCAAACAATTGGGCTTTACTTGGGAGGAAACGGCCAGACCCTCACCTATCCCGCGAGCTAGATAGAGCACCAGATCTCAACGTGTGGGTCATGACCCCCTTAGTGTCAAATGACCCTTTCACAGGGGTTATCTAAGACCATCATAAAACACAGATACTTACATTGCAATTCATAACAGTAGCAAAATTGCAGTTATGAAGTAGCAATGAAAACAATTCATGGTTGGGGGTCACCACAACATGAGGAACTGTATGTATTAAAGGGTCGCAGCATTAGGAAGGTTGAGAATCACTGCTCTAAAGCATTGTAAATTCACTTGATGGCTTTTCCTGGAGACAGGGTATGTCTGTGGTGCTCTGTGCACACAGGGCCAACCAGGAAAGTGTGTTTCCAGAAATCAGCTACTGAAGTGCTCAGTAGGTGCTATGGCTGTGGTCCACAGAGGCCCCGATAGGTTCCAGATGTCACCAGACCATGGTATCATCCTTATGGTGCTAATATTTTAGGCATATAGAATTCAGGAATTACGGAGTCATGAAGATTTCCACTAATATTTTTAAAGAAAGGCCCTAGAGGTCGAGTAATATGTAGCATGTCATCTAAAAGGAGGTAATATATGTACTTGTGAAGGTGAAGCCTAGGCTGAAATGGAGACCCTGGGAAACTGGAGATGCAAGAAATAATGCATTTGCAGTGGAGAGGGGTATAATGAACAGAGCCAGCCCCAAAGAGAGGCCATGTGGGTTGCAAGGCTTTGGGAGTAGGGTTGTCTACTACCTGTGCTGGATGCTAGACATTGGACGACAGAACTCCATGCTTGCCATGCTGGGTTCCAGCTTTGCTTTGGTCACATCTTTCCTTTTTTTCTGTCCCACATCTTCCCTTTTGGAATGGTAATATGCTGTGGGATGATCCTTCTGTGCACTGTGTATACAAATTACTCTCATTGGTTAATAATAAAGCTGTTGGTTAATAATGCAGCAAGGCAGGATAAAGTTAGGCGGGACAATCAGACTGGGATGAAGAAGGGCGGAATGCAGAGAGACTCGAGCGAGCCATCCAAGAAGCAAGACGCTAGAGGACCGTAAGGCCGCGGGTCACGTGGCAATACATAGATGAACAGAAATGGGTTGATTTAAAAGTGAGAGCGAGTTAATAATAAGCCTGAGCTATTGGTTGACCATTCTGTAATTAATATAAGTATGTGTGTGTTTATTTGGGACCGGCGGTTGGGACAGAAAAACTCTGCCTCCATTTACAGTAATATTTCCTTCATGCCATTTTATATTGAAAGAATGTGATTTTCTTTTTGCTTTTGCACAGGTTCCAAACTTAGAGAAATGCATTCAAGAAAAAAGTGTATGGCATTAACACATGCAATGGGATATTTCAGATAGTCCTCAAGTGTATTGTCAACAAAACCCATACAGGTACAAAGGTGTGTTAGAATCTGTAGCTAATAAGCTGGAGATTTTTGCACACTGGCTTTCATCAAAGCCATTTTAGCAGATAATTACACTGCTGCCACGCTGAACTTGGAGAGCTCAATGCTGAAAATGAATGAGAAAAGAGATTCTGGCTGTAGGCATGGATTGTTGACCTCTGCATTAGCCTGGTGACCAGAGGACAAGGAGGACCTAGGTTTTGTTGAGGATCATGTACCCTTGACCGGATCATGTCATATTATTTCACCGGCATCTTAAATTCAGTTTTATAAAACCATCATGCTGCAATGGCTAAGAAACAGAAACAACCTAGATGTCCTTCTATGAAAGAGTGGGTCGTGACAGTGTGGTACATGTATACTATGGGGTGCTATTCAACTGTAAGGAAAAGGGAAATCGTGAACTTTGCAGGTAAGTTGTGCAACTAGAAAAGATTGTCTTGAGCGAGGTAACCCAAACTGGTGCTCTCTCATCTGAGGCTCCTAGCTCCAAATCTTCAGATGGAAGTTACCAGAACAACTGAAGAAACCAGTAGGAAGGGGCCATTGAGGGGAGGGGCTGGGGAGCAGTGGAAAGGGGACTAATGGTGTGCAAGCGATCTGATGGGGAAAATGGGGAGAGGAGGGGAAGGAAATAAACACGGAAGGAGGAGAGAAAGAGTAAAAGAACAATAAGGATGTCGAAAAGCTCTAAAGAATCATAATATTAACTACCGAAAAATCCTTAATATACATAAGTCTGTCTACAAATATGCATATATAATTTAAATGAACTTTTCTCATCTGAGTGGACAATGCTCCCTCCAGGAGCCTAAGACCAGCAGGCAAAAAACACAACACCAAGTACGAGAAGACTTTTTTGAGTTGCTGGTCAGGGTTGTCCAAAAGACTCCCAAAACATTACAGGCTATTGCTATTGCAATACTAACTGCCCACTAAGATGACTGGCAGTTCCCTATTGCTGAAGACACCACACAGTTCAAACATATGCTCAGAGACCCCTGAGCTGGAACTGGCCTGAATGCCCCTTCTGAGGACTAGCTTTCATGGTGCCATGTGAGCTTCCGAAGGAGGGAAGCCACAATAGTCCTACCCAGTTATGACGCTGATGAACCATGACAATGATCTTCATGCATCATAATACTAAGATTGAAGTAGTAGTATGCATATTTTGATGGTAAACAACAGCTCTATAATTTGATTTATGCCCCGCCCAACAAGAAGGAAATCATACCTGGTACTGAAAACCTAGCCAACTCCCCAGGGCTAGTAAAGACATGGATCTTGGAGGAGAAGATACAACTTCCACTTTACTAAGGCAACATAATCCTCAACTACACTCTAAATATTTGTCCTTATACCCACAGATAAGTACAGTCCTCACTCCTCAACAAGGAAACTTCTCTTTGCAAGAGACAGAGACCATTACAGAAAACCACAACCAGTCAAAATGCAAAGTTGCAGCTTCCAGTCCCAACAGACACATCTACAAAACAACTCCCACATCTAAGGCTCAGGGACCATTGCAGAAGAGGGAAGCTTCAGAGAGAGCCAGAAGATCAGGGAGTTTGCGGTGAAACTGTGTCTCCTGGAAATGGCAGAAGTTATAGCCATAAAGTCTCACCAATGTGACTTACTGAACAAGGACAATACCAATAGACATGCCAAAGTAGACGGAGGAAAGCCAGGGAGGCCTCAGCCCTACACAAAGAACTACAGGCAACTAGGAAATGCTGAGAGTGAGAAATAGTCTTCCCCAGGGAAGAGCACACCAGCTGGGTATCCAGTACCAAATGGTCAGCCTGAACATGTGCATAAAAGTGACATCATATAGACTGAGCTGTATATATTTGGGAATATATATGTACAACACACATACACACACACACACACACACACACACACACACACACACACACACACATATATATATATACAATATATACACACACACACACGTATACATATAAGCATGCAATAACAATTAATGAAAAAAGAGGACATGAATTTGAAAGGGAGCAGGAAGGGATATATGGGAGGCTTGGAGGGAAGAAAGAGAAAGGAGAAATATTTTAATTATATTATAATCTCAAAAATAAAAGTATTATTTAGAAAAACAACAACACTATGCTTGCTTATTAGAATCAGAATGACCAGAAGGATTGCATGGTTTCAAAAGAAAAAAATGAATGCAACATAGGGAAATGGCCATATGTTGTCTGTTCCCAGGCTCTGTAAGCAATTTTGTCTATGGCTATACCCCTCAAAGGCCAGGAAAATACACAAGTACTGGCATCTTGGTTATTCACAGAGAGTGAGTACCTGAAGGAGAGGGCTGTCCTTTCACTACGCCATTTTTAGTCTTTTCTTCTGAGTTCATTACTTCCTTGTAGATAAGTTCTGTAAGAAACGATTGCCCATGTTATTATAACAGAAAAGCAACGACTTCCTTAATCTACAAACAGATTCACTAGCTAATGACAAGTAACATCTCTGTGGTGTTGAATGGATTCTTAAAACACTGAGGATTTTCAATCTTCCATTTCTATATTTCCTTGCACTGTGCATGAAGCTTAAGCCAAGCAGATCCTTGTTATAGCAGTTAAGTAAGTAAATGTCTAAAAATAAATAAATGACTGTTTTCTGAACTGATCGTGATGGACTCCTGAGTACAAGAACTTAAATAACCTCATTTGCTTGTTTACTTGTTTCTTGGTTGGCTTTTGCAGTATTGGGGTCCATACTCAGGGCCTCATGTGTGCTAGGAATTTATCCACCCGTGCCACCACCACCACCCTCCCCGGCCCCCGCCACTGGGGACTGTGTTCCCAGCCAATGCCTTCACTTTTGGATGCTCTTGTTTCCTTTTATAGTTACTTCTTCCATGCAAATCCTATGGACTTTAAATTATAATCAATCCTTGTAACTTCTGTCTCTAGTACCATCTTTCTTCCAGACTTAGGTTGTGGACTTGTAAACCCAAGCACAACAGAAACCTGAGAATTAAAAAATCATGTTTTTCATCCCCAGACTGGCAGTCAATATTTTTTTTTCTTGTTGCTGTAGATCAGCCTGGAGATCTCTAGTTCTTTATGTTGCCAGATTTAGGTAAAAAGCATTTAGTCCTACTCATCCCTTCTTGCAATGGCTTATATCCTCCACAGATACTTCTTCCTCCAGCTTAGCACGTGTCCTCTTCACATTGGCTGTGTCTTCTCACTTGCGACTTCCCAAGCCCCAATAATGCCTTTGTGTTTCGTTTAGACCAAAGCAACCTTCTGCACCCCCGCACCCCGCACCCCTCCCCTCCATCTGCCATCAGTGTTCCCCTGACGCCCCTTTCAAGGGCTTGTTTTTCCATGTTCACCCACACGGTCCTTTGGATGACATGGTCACCCACATGACCAGGGGAATCTCTTTATAACACTCTGCTTATTTCTAACACTGGTTTCTCCCTGTCTCCTCCATCTGGTATTTTCCTTTTCCCAACTTATATGATGAATTCTTTAAAAGTCGCTCAAAATTTCCTTCCTTTTTTGTTCTGGCTCATTTTAATTTGACCAAGTGACACCATCTGTATTTGGATTCCTTAAATTCATTCTCCTCTGCAGTTAATTATATTAGTTTAACAGTTCTTTGTAGGTTTAGCTCTTTTTTCTTTTTGTTTCTTCCTCTGGATAATTTTGAAGTTACAGTATGAGTTTGGAGAAATTTTGCTGAAAAAATACATTGATGCACTCACTCATTCATTTTTATTTATGTGAGGAATGAGCCTCTGGGGTTCATATATCTTCTACGTTAACTCTCAAATCCCGTAAATTTTGTAAATTAATTTATATGTTAACTATGTTTATTTTTTAAAACTCAAAGTATATTTCAAACTTACTTTTAGATTATATTTTGTTTATTTGGAGAGGGAAGGCACAGTCTGGGGATAGTATATGGAAGTTGGCTCTTTCCTTCCATGTGTGGGTTGAGGGATTAAATGAGGGTTTTCAGGATTAGTACTCTCTCCACTGATCTATCACTCTAGCTATCAAACTTAATTTTAATTTTATATGCAAACATAGGAGTTTAATTTTTAAGTATTAAAATGAAGCTTGACCCCATGATAAATACTTTGTCAATCAATACTATTTTGCAAAGGTGTCCATAATTAAATTCTTTTTAGTCTTAAGCAAATAGAATTTTTCTATTAATATAAAAGACAGATAAACTTTAGGAAATTTCAAAATAATTGCATTCTCGTTTGTATTTCATTCACTTATTGTGGCACCTTGTATATACTGGACACACACTGATTGAGCTCCCACACCAGCCCCATAACAAGGCACTGAAACGTCACTTTTTAATGAAGTATTGTACAGGAGGAAGTTGCAGATACTTTCTTTGTATTGACTACATGGCCTAACAGGACAGTTTCTATATTCTGACTTCCGGGAAAGCAAAATGTACATATAAGCACAGCACAGTCACCTTTCCATTCTTCAATGGTGTGCTCCCTCTCATCCAGCTGTTTATCATATATCTGAGGAGGAGGCTGTGGAACAAACACACACATTTTTTATGACAACCAATCCAAACACAACTGTACTCTCATAATTTGTGAAAATGCCTTGCCACTCTTTGATTTGGGTGGAGACGATACCCTTATATCAGTTTTGGGGAATAAATAGTAGCTTAACGGTTAAATTTCCCCCAAATTTTATGGAAGAATTACTTACATATTGCTCACTAATAAGACAGCAGAACTCATATCTTAAAGTCTCACTTCCCAGTGCCTTCATCTCTAGTCCCACAGAGGGACAGTGGCTGGACTGCATGTTTGGTGGCAAAGACCCAGAATCAGTGTTCTCTGCTCACACAACCTGTGCAGAAACTCTCCCAGATCGACAGACCTTGTTTCGTTTTTAACCTATTCTAAAGAATCTACATCCAGTAAAACAGTGCAAGTTCCCACTCAAAGAATGGTTTGTATTAAATTAACCTTTTATTTTTCTTGAAACATTATTACATACTTTAGACTTAGCCTCGCACCCTGTATTGAAATGGATTTACTCACTCCCCTCCGGCAGAAGCAATTTCTACTTTACTATAGAATGGGGTTGCCTGGACCCCCTGAGTGGCCTCTGGGTTGCACTCCATGAGGAGACTGACTTAATACAGTCACCTGATTCCTCCTGTATGGAGTTCAATTACAACAGGCAGTTTCCACAGTCATACACTTCCCAGGATGGCAGTCTTCATATAACCTGTCTGACCTCTTGTTCCTAATATGCGGACTTGGAGACATCTGCCACATTAACTAGAAAGCTCTAACTTAAGTGACATAACACAGAAAGGCAAACAAGTCTCGGAAGAGCACATGAGCACAAAGTGGAGGAAGTGAACAAAAGGAAATGCGATAGCCAGCATGGACCAGTACAGGCAGGAATTATAGTGTCTCTGTTACTAAGAGATGAGGAGGCCTAGAATCCATTTTTGATCAGTACTCTAAACGCCATAGTTTTTTGAGAAACTAAAAATGTTCCAGAATCAGAGGAACTCCCACCTATTAGAAGATGGATTTAAAAAAAAAAAAGTGTCCTTATAAGGAAGGTTTTCATTAAGAATATATGAACCAGGGGGGGAAGTGTCAAGATCATGATGGGAAATCTACAGGGACAACTGAATCAAGCTCATATGAACTCTTGAACATTAGACGGACAGCTGTGGAACCTGCATGGGAGTGGACCAGACCCTCTGCACATGGGAGACAGTTGTGTAGGGTCTGTTTGAGGGGCCCCAGGCGGTATGATCAGGATCTATCCCTGGTGCATGAGCCGCTTTCTGAATCCCATTACCTATGGTCGGACACCTTGCTCACCCTTGATGCAGGGGGGAGGGGTTTGGTCCTGCCTCAACTAAATGTACTAGGTTTAGCTGACCCCTCATGGGAGAACTTACCCTTTTGGAGGAGGGGATGGTGGGGGGAGAAGGTGAGGGGGGAGGAATGAGAGGGGGATCTGTGGTTGGTATGTAAAATGAATAAAAAAAATAAAAAATAAAAAGATTTTCTCACACATTCTTGCTTCTGTGCTAGATTCATTGGCCCGGAAGCCACAACCAGAGCCAATTTATTCAGATACAGCCAGCAGAGCAGTGCTACTCAGTAGTCAGCACATGGACAGTGAAGCAAAGGGAGACTTGACTCCACCCCAGAACCCCAGGGAGAGCCCCTAAACACTGACTGTGCACAGTGGAGGGACTGGAGAATCAGCACTGCCCTGGGGCTGCCTGGAGGACTGTCTCCTCCTTCAAGCTATAAAGGACTTACAAAGGAATACATTGATTTCCTGGAAAAAGGAGGCAAAACAGGAGCCATTTTTGAATATATATGAGACTGTTCTAAACTCAGCTCAGCAGAGCAGAGTCTGGATTTGAAGAGAGATTTTGCCACGCGGCAGTTTGTCTGCTGTCCTCTCCCTGAGAATGTGTGAGGCGGGATTAGGCCTGCAGGACAGCAATGCTCAGACCTTTGTGCTTTGCTGGCCCTCCTCCTTCCTCTCAAAAAAGACTGAGCTCAGGATGCTGTGTGACTGGCCTCCCCACAGAGGAGATTTTTCCATACAAGTTTCAAAATTGAACATGACTTAAGAGTATAGCTCCTGCCAAAGTTCATAAATGTCATTTTCTGCAACAAAGCTATTTTGAGGAGGCTTTTCTTGGCGCTTAGCATGCAAATGTTACTGGTGTCCAAAACACTAAGCACAGACTCTAACCACAGACTACAGAGGGAAGCAAAGTGCTCAGTCTAGGATCTTTGCTTTCAATAAACCAAGAGCGATGCTGGAAACCTTTGTGTTTGTGGTTACCATCCTAACATATGAGTCCTCTGGGTTTTTGTTTTGCTTTTCTTTTTTTAAAGTCTAGGTTTTTATTTTGATTTGAGGTTTTCCTGAAGAGAGGAAGCAGATGTTACCTATAGTGGAAGGGTACATTCACACAAACATGTCACCTCAATGACAGTATAAAAGAGTTCTTGGCAACAATCTAAAGACAGTAGAGTCATAACCCGCGTACTCATCCACTCGTGCTTAGGAAACAGTTGTTAGCACATGATGTTCCCGAGCAACCCTGCCTTCACTTGCAGAGGGAATGTTTGGTGTTTGGTTAGTGAGGTATTCTCTTTCTCGACCTTAGGAAGTGGGAAGGACTTCCCATCAGTAGGGAAAATCCTATATAAAAAAAAGAAGTAAGGGACAAGGGCAAAGAAACATGGCGACGTTGTAGAGAATCACACCTTCACCATGAGTTAGTAAATATTGTCATCCACTTATTAACCTATTAAATTCATTTATTCAATAAAAAGCTTAGGTTGTGTGGTGGCTAATGTTAATTGTCAACTTGACAGGACCTAGACTCTCCTGGGGTGGTGGGCATCTTTGCATGTCTGGAGGGAATTGTTTTGAAGAGAAAGACCCATCTTTATTGTGGGTAGGACCTTCCCCTGGGCAGGGGGTCGTGGCCTGTAGCAAATGAAAAAAGAAAACTGAATATTAGCATGTATCCACTGGTCCCTGGTCCTGAGAGTGAATATAACATAACAAGCTTGTTTAGGCTCCCTGCACCTTGACCTCCCTCCATGATGGACTGTACCCTTGAACTAGAAGCCAGAATAAATGCTTAAATGGCTTCTGTCAGAATATTTTATCTTATCAACAAGACAAGAAGCTAAGACTGCTGCTGAACATGTACCAGACTATACTTAAAAATGATATTTCAAACTGGAATTATTTGACTGCCAAACTCAATGATCTCACATTTAGAGAGTTTTTCATTCTTCAAAACTGCTACAATATACAGAAAGATCTAATTAAATTTGAGACAGCATCTAAAATGTTGGAAAATATAATGAAATATCTTCAGTACCAATATTGATACTGTATACGACCAAAAGAAAAGGGGATAAGTGTGACAGGGGAACACATACAGGTCTTAATTATACTCTCTCAATTATCTTTGAGAGGTTAATAAATGAAGATCATTATTATCTTTCTAGTTAGGATTAAGCTCCTTTATTTTCTGAGAAGCCATAATTGTCTAGGCTGCTTCTACACACCTTAACAATCATCAGAATCGAGAAACTGTGGTGAATTTTCAAATATATAACTTGAAGTCAAATGACTAATTAATGATATAATTTTTATTAAAATTCAAGTGTAAATAATTATCCAGACAAAATGGAGTTAATTCTAAAATAAATTATAGTTTAGAAGAGCATAGACACATAGCCAATGTGGTAACCACATTTCCCACTTTGCCCCAAAGAATGCTTTTAGTTACTAGGGCACTTTGCTACCCTCACTATGTTAAGATGATGAACTGGGAGATAAATTGGTGTGTTGTGAGACGCTGTGTTAGAGATCTGAGATATATAATTGCATGACAAATTAAAGATAGATGAATGATTTTGCATTTCGATATTTTCCCATTACTCGGGTTTAAACTATTACATCTATAAGTTTTGGTTCTCCAAGAAGGCATGACAGCATTTTCTTCCAATTTTTCAACTTTTCAGAACGTAAAACTCAGCATTGGGGAGGTGACTAAGTCAGAGGTTCTGAGTGATGACTGCTCTTCCAAAGGGCTCGAGTTCAGTGAATAAACCTTTTTTTAAAAGGACATAAGATTTAGCTCTCGGAAGAAATAGTGTCGGAGAGTGCCGGTCTCCACACACACCAGGGGTGGAGGAGCATGTTATTATTATTCTTGTTATTCTGTGCTGTGCTCACTGGCGGGAGTCACTCTTTTCTGAAGGGATCTCTCTAGCCACCACCTTCTCATTCTCCAGTTCACCACCACAAGAGGAAATCCTCTCCTTCTTTTCACTTCCTTGTGTCCCACATTTTTAAACAGAACTTCTCTGTTGAGCTTCATGTGTCGATTCATTCTGTGCTTATCTTCTAAACAATGCTGGTTTGGGTGGTTTCACGTAAGTTACGGAAGATAGTTTGGTGAGTGCCCAGAACCACCTTGAGTCAATTTGCAAATGAAAATACAGAAACACAGAGAGAAAAAGTCAGGTTTTTCATGATCAGAGAGGTAATTAGAACAAAGCCATGGATAAACCTTAAAGTTTCCCACAGGAAAAGACAGAGTGAATGAATCCTTATGAGTTCCAGAAATATTAAATTGGATAATTTCACACTTACAAAATATTTTAATTAGGACAAGTTTTAGCCTGCGACTCTGATTTCTAATTTCTGTCCCAGTGTTCTGTCTGTTAATTCACATGTGACATCTGGAAACCATCACACAACGGTCAACACTTAGACTCCTAAATGCTTTCTGTCAGAGTATCTTGAACATCAATACTTCTCCACTGACTCTTACAGTAGATGAGAAACAGCAACAGGAAGCCTAAGCTGAGCAAAGTTCTTCCTTTTATGCATTTTGGGATAACAGGATATCCAGCTTTGAATCTGACGTTTTGACATTTCTTCTATAATGGTCATGTCCTGACCTATACAAAAATTGTCCAACTGTTGGTGTTTGCTT